TATGCTGCTAAGGTTTAACTTTAAATTTAGTAAGTTTTTAGCTTTAAGTCCTATAAAAGAGGGTTTAGCTGTTAAGGTTAGTAGTAGTTTAGTTCTAAAAGTAGGCATCTTGCCTTAGCTATAGCTAGAATAGGTTACAGTCTTTATAATAAGATCTAATAGTAGTTAAAAGTTAGGCATTAGTAGTTATCTTTAATCCTAATAAGTTATTAGTAGTCTTTGTGTTTCTACTTTAGCGCACTTTTTATAACTTTTTTAAAAGTAATCCTAATTATAGGGGATAGGAAGTTCTAAACCTAAAGGCTTTAGTTAATAAAAGGTCTCTAGGATCCTATCTATACTAACTAAATAATTTAATGTAACAGTGTGTAAGAATAGCAACCTAAACTAAATTAGACACTTCTTAGAGTTAGATGTAGTTAAATAAATAATTAATGCAATATTATAATAAGGCTATTACTAGTAAAAGTAAGTTTTTTAATATAATGTAACAGCGCAGGCAAGACAATAGGTCTAAATGCAGTATAAATCCACTTAGAGGCATATAGGAGTGCGTGGGGACTTAGAGACCTAGGAATACTAATAACACCTATAGGCCTAGTACGTAGGATATTAGAAAACTACTAAGCTAGCTACAGGGGCGAGGTGCGACTAAATACATAAGGGAATAGGGGTAACTGCAGGGGGCTAGGTCAAGTCATGGTCAGGGCTGATACAGGGACCCTTTGGATAGGATCTGAGCGACCTGAGATGGAACAATTTGTAGAATTGTTACATAGGTAACTTAGGGCTGTTAACTCTTTATTTAAGTTTTTATAAGTTGCTTATAGAAATGCTATAAATTAATTTAGGTTAATAATATCTTTATCTAGTAGTAAGTTAATTAAGGCTGTTATGTTATAGTTAAGTTAAGAGTAGGCATATAGTAACTAAAAGTGTTTAGAGGGGAATTAGTCTGTGTTTTCTTTAAGTTTGTATTAAAGCTTACATAAAAAGGAAGGTAGGTCTTTCTGTTTTCTATTAAATAGTAGGGGATTAGAAAGTTAGTTAGATTTTATTACTAGGTTAGAAAGGTTACAGGTTGTAGGCAGTGTTAGACAGAAGAGAGTTAAGCTATCTCTAGACTTCTAGGTAGGCTTTAAGGCTAGTAAGTTCTTAGTTCCTACTACTATAACAGAAGTTAAGGCAGAAACAGACTGCTTAACAACACAAAGCTATTTTTTAAAGTCCTTTTAAAAAGCTTTTAAGTTTGTAATGTAGTAGCTTTCTTATAAAGTAAGTGCTTTTTAAAAAGCTTCTTAGCTTACTTTAATAGCTTAGAGTTATGTAAGTACTAAGCTTATTAAATTAGATTTAGAGGCTATTCTTAGCTAGAGTTTTAATATAATGTAATGTTACAATTGTGCACAAGTAAGGTTATAGAGCTTTACAGAGGTCTAGTTTAATTACTATATAAGATATTATAGTAGGTATAAAACATTATGTAAGAAATAAAAAGGTTTAGAAGAAAATTAGCAATTAAATACTTAGCTTAAAAGTCTAAGCGCTTTAGGTATAAATTAAGCCTGTTCTAAGTTTAGTTAGTGTTAAGGCAGTTTGTGCTTAAGTTTATGTCTGTGTTGTGTCGTGTTTGTGTCAGACGTGCACTAATAATACTCTAGTACGCGTCTAATACAGTTATGTCTGGGATCTAGGGAGGATACCGTGACACTAGATAACTATTAAATAGGCTTTATACTAGCTAGCATTTATAATTAGCAAGTACGTGCAAGGCAAAGAGGGCTGCACAGTGTACACATCGCGCGGGGGGTAGTAGGTAACTAGTGTTAATTGTTCTTCTTCTAAGTCTATGCAAAGGAAAGGAATATTTATCTGTTTATGTGTACAACTGTGACACAAGACTATGCTACATAACACCTAACATTACATCTAAATACTTCTATTTAGATAATAACTAATCTTAAATTTATATAAACCTTTAGTTTTTAAAAAAGAAATTTTACTAACTTAATTAAAGCTAAAAATTAGCTAGCTAGCTATTATTTACTTATAAGTATTACTTTACTTATAAGCTTATTTTATAATAAGTAATTTAGTTATATATAAAGTTTTTTACTTAGCGCCTATATACTTTTTTAAAGAAGTAAAATAACC